CTATGCACACCCCGGAGCTGACGACCGGGAAGTTGGCGACCTCCCAGCGCTGCAGCGCCAGCTGCACCTCGCTGGCCGGATCCCAACCGCCGGGCCGATGCCGCCAGGAAGGCCCAGAAAGCTCCTCAGGAGGCCCAGGTGTAAAAGTTTGGGCTCAGGCCATCCCAGAGAATCACAAAACACAGCAGAAGCAGATCGGTTCTTGAAGTAGGCAGGCGACCGAAGCGCATTGGATTCTGGAAGCCGCGGATACGTACTTTCAACGACTGGCGTGTCTTGTAAAAATCAGGGCGTCGCCTATCTGGCGAGGCCGCCCTCTCTCTACCTTCCCCCCACCTGCGCGCCGACGACACTGTGCCGCAACGTCTGGCAAGGGCCATCCCCGGCCTCGGCAACAGTGTGCATGCGGGCTCGTGCCGCGGCGGCCTTGCGCGTCTTGGTTTCTGGCACCGCGTGGGTCGTCCGATCTGAGGCAATCGCGCCGCTCCGACTTGGAGGTCGCTTGGGGGGCAGCATTGTTTCCAGGGCGAGATCCAAATACGCTCAGCCGGCGCGCTTGATCCGTCAATAGCAATCCTTACGACACCCATTCGCGACAAGTTCAGACCTTGGGCTTGATTGGGCTGCTTGGGTTTGCTCTTACCCTACGAGCATTGTCTCCTCCTCCGTCGCCCCAGAAACACAGATCGCGTTCGCTGCCCCTCAGCGAGCTGAAAGCTCCGAAACTGAGGCGATCTGAGGCGATCGCGCCGATCTAGGGCGATCGCGCTCGCGACGCGCGCCCCTCTGGTAAGGAACCGAACTTTATACACCGATACTTTTTTCCGGTCCCGCACTGAGATTCGCACAAGAAAACGGGTTATGGTGTATACGTCTCCACAGGAAAACTGGGAAACTAATATACACCACACCACCCCGACGTCGTCCCCGACCCTCAGAGCTTCCCAGGATCGAACAACAGCCCGCCACTGGCAATTTGTATGCTCCAGTTTCGGGCTTCCTTGAGGTCGGGCATGTCCCCCTGAAGGGGTATTCTGGACGAATCACCAAGCATGGCCAAACATACTCAAAAACTGTCATACAAAGTCTATACATAGTCTCCCCAGATTATTTCTAACATATGTTCAAAGATTCCTCCTGTAGAGGGACAGGCCCTTAATGGGGCCTGTTTCCAGTTTCCGACCTGGCGCCTTGCGAACCGGCGCCTCGGGCGGCAGCAGCGCCACGGAGGGCAGGCTGTCGCAGATGTCGCCGGCGACGACCTGCGAAGAGGAGGAGGAGGAGAAGGAGGAGGAGAAGGAGGAGGAGGATGAGGAGGAGGGAGGAGGAAGGATGAGAAGGGAGGAGGAGGTAGGAGGAGGAGGGAGGAGGAGGAAGGAGGAGGATGAGGAGGATGAGGAGGAGGGAGGAGGAGGAGGAGGAGGAGGAGAAGGGGGAGGAGGAGGACCTGAGGCTCGAATGTGTCCTCCGAAGGCCGAAGCTAGAGAGAAGGGGGGGGCGACGAAATAATGAACAGGGGGCAACGCTCAACCGCTCTGGGTGCGACCCCTCAGGGGGACGCCTGTCCGCGGGTGGCATTTGGCCCTACGATGTCGTGCGGCCGTCGTGCGGACACGACTGGATCTCCAGGTTGCTGTGCCTCCACTGCCAGCCAGTAGCACAAGGGATTGTCCAGTGGAGGCAGATCCGCCACGCTGAAGAGAAAACGCACGTGGGTCCTGGAGGCGAGGAGGAGAGAGAATCAAGGATCGAGGAACCCGAAAGATCTTGCATCACTCTGGGCCTCCAGGGGCAAGCTCGTCGCCACGGCTGGATCCGCGAGCCAGATCTCTGATGCCATGGGTCAAAATCGAGACGGCTGATTTGGGGCAGAGAGGGGCAGGAAACCCACAAGGGGGAACATCGAGATGGCATCGGCGATACATCGCGGAGAGAGCGGCGTCAAGCCATCGATAGCACATCCGCACCTCCTGGACGGAGGGGGCTATGGAACCCCTGTCGGCGATCAATGGACAATTGGGGGTCGATGCAACCCCCCCTGAGCCTCCCCCCAGGGGAAGACACGGCAGGATCATGCTCCACAGCTCGTCTCCCTGAGCGAAGAGGCGCTGGCGAGAGACACGACGCCCGCGCTCGTGACGGCCTCGTGGCGGTCCATCTCGTGGGGCAGGTCCGCCTCCAGGAACGGCACGCCCTTCTTCAGCATCAGGGCCTCGGCGCGAGCAGGGCGGCGGCGGTGACGGCCGCGAGAGGCGGCGGCTTCGGGGGAAGGTGGCGCCCGCGGCCGACCGGCGCCCGCGCGCGCGCGGCACGAGGGCCTCGTCTGCGGGGGTCGTGGCGTCGCCGCCGTCCTCGCCGCCGTCGTCGAGCGAGAGGCTGAAGGGGAGGACCCCGAAAAACGGCCGGACCCCTGGACCCCATCTTGCCACGTCATCTTTTGAGCCGGATCCATCTGCGAGGGTCCTGGGGCCCGAAACTGGGCAAGAACCCCCGTTGCAATTGCGACGCCAAGATCCCCAGACCCCCGACATCGTGATTTTTCATGGCGTAGCCCTCGGAAGTCCCGGGCCCCTTCCCGGGGGTTCCGCTCTTCATCCTGAGTCGTTCCTTGACGGCCCCGAGGCCCCCGGGCAGGGCCCTGGAAGCCGAAAGTGGCAACGGACCTCCCGTCGTGATTCTTTCGCCACGCGAGGGGCTCTGGGTCCGTGGGGGGGCCAGTGCAACGATGCTCAGAAGCGCCCTCCGCGGCCACCGCCGGCGCCAGCCGCCGCGCCGTCGAGGGCTCGAGGCCCACGGGGGCAGCACGCTTGCCGAGGTGGGGGGCAAGCCCCGACCGCGGTGCGAGCGACGGGCTCCTGTGCCCAGCCCCCGTGCGGGCGCACGCCCTCGTCAGTGGCGAGATGTTGCCCCCCTCGGTCGGCAGACGCAGGTCGGAGCACGATGCGGGAAGGCGTCCGCAAAAGATTGGGCTCCGCTTGGATTCCAACGTGGGTCTGTTAGTATAGAGAGGGTCATGACACAAACGTTGCAACACATATTCTGCGTATCTGTGCATCTGCGGTCTGGCAAATCGGGGCAGCATCATCGCGACGCCAAGGGGCGTCGCGGACTCGAGCCTTTGGCCTTGAAACACGAAGCGCACGATTACCCATATCATGAAGTTCTGCAACAAGTCACTATGTTCTGGGGGCGCACGGACACGCAAAACACTGTTCAGCTAATCGTTAGCTGGCGCCCGCCTCGAACTCATGCCCCACCCCCCGCCTCTTCCAAATATCCTTTCGCTGTGGCCCCACCCTCCTCATGCCCCTCCGATCGCCCCGGTCCTCATCGTGCCCGTCATCCACATTGCTCACCCCCCATGTGCCAATTCACGTCGTTCCTCGTCGTCTTCCTGCGCCGGATTCGTTCCCCCATCGTCCACATGCCTGCCTTCCTCCAATCCTCTACGCCCTAGTGCACATCATGCCCCCAACTTCTGCCTCCCCCACCTCCCTCGCCCTCGCGATGCTGACACCGATGATCCACATCCTCCTGGGCTCATTTCTTCCGCTCTCGTCCAGTCCCGTTCATCCTTGGCGCCTCGGCCACCCCTCCTATCGAACCCCTTCCTCCCACAGCCCACCATCTCCACCCCCCCCCCGCGCCTTTGCATGCCCAGACCACGGCCCCCTCCTGGACCAGCCGGGAGACCCGCGGAAACTCCCGCCCAGAGACCACTCCAGCGAACGGCGCGCAACAAATGCACAGTTGGAGACACGAACTGTGTATTTCGACCGCGCACGACGCCCCCCTGGACCAGCCGGAAGAGAAACGCGAAAGTTCCCGCCCATTCAACACCACCCGCGAGGGACACACTCCAAATACACAGATGGGAACGAAATCTGTCTACACAGATCACACCACGATCTGTGTAAACAGTCGGCCCACACACGAAAATACACAGTTGAAGACACAAACTGTGTACACAGATCACACCTTGATCTGTGTATTTCGAAAGGGTAAACGCTCGCCACCTTGAGGGCGCCCCGACTTTGCCAGCCCAGAACCGAGGTTGACATGCCCGCCTGGGGGGGACTGCAAATACACACTTCCCCGGCCCAGGGCGCCCCAGAGAGAACCGCAAATACACGCTTCCCTGGCCCAGGGCGGCCGCGGTGTAACGCGGCGCCAAAGCGGCCCCCAACGGCCCGAAGACGCCCCAAAAGGCCTCGAAGGACCCCAAAGAATGCCGCGCGGCAGTCCGAAAACACGAGAGATGTCACATGTCATGGACCTCTTAACACTCAAAACTCCACGCGTCGCCATATAGACCACTGCTCTGGCAGGGGGGCGGACCTTGCCGCAGGCACCTATAATTTACATGTTAGCGATGCGACTGTGCTCGGCGGCCGTGCCGCCCGCATTTTGGGCGCGCCCCGAACTCTCGCATTGGCAATCCCCTCTGTTTGGTTGCGCCGCTGTGCGCGGATATCGGAAAAGCATTTACCGCTGACGCGGGCACGCGGCACCAGGGACTTCACTTTTCGAACAAGGAGGGTGGGCGAGGTAGGACGACGGACGGTGGAGCAAGGAGGCAAAGAGGAACGAGGAATAATACGGGAGGTGGGAAGGGGCGCTCCCCCGCCCGAGCCGCGGACGCTTTCGACACCATCCAGGGGAGGGAAGAAAGGAAGGGGAACGGAGCAAGGGCGAGGACGACGACGGGAAGCAAAGTGTCCCGGGTCCGCATATAGCCATATGTCTGCGATTCGGGTGCGCGCGCTTTCTTCGAGGCACTTCAAGCCCGACCCATGCTGAATTCACTAATTCCTTAAAGCTGTGTAAACACTCTGTCCTCTGTTCCCTCTCCTATACAACGGCCTCATAACAGAGGGGCAGTGGATTCCAAGGCTCCGCTTGCCTCCTGAGGAGGGCGGAAGAGGGAAAACCACGCGACTCCTGGAACAGGAAGGCGGCTGAAGCAGATATTTGATGGGGCCCTGGGACGCACACATACATACACACACAACTAAATAAAAGCATCCCCCATACTTTCCCATATTTTTTCTGGGTGTCTGTCTTCCCCCCCACTTCCCATAGTCTCCCATATATTTCCCGGGGAATCGACGAGGATTTGTGTCTCTCTGTGTGTTTTTCCCTCCCGACTGGAGGCCTCCTCCAGCACGTGGGCCTCGACGGCGCCTCGAGGCCCCCTTCCCAGGCCGCGGCCGGCGCCGCTCCGGCAGCGCCGCGGGGGCCCTGGAACAAGGAGACGAGCTCTCTATACACCGACACTCTTCCTCCTCCTCCTCCTCCTCCTCCTCCTCCTCCTCCTCCTCCTCCTCCTCCTCGTCCTCCTCCCCCTCCTCCTCCTCCTCCTCCTCCTCCTCCTCCTCCCTCCTCGCACGGGAAAGCGGGTCCTGCTGTATCGGGGACTCGGAAATCCCCGACGAGGTCGTCAAAAAAATGACGAGGCCGAGCCTGCATTTTGACGAGGCCTCCCGCTGCAGACATCCCGACGAAACTCCTCCTCGTCAAAATCCGAGGCGCGGTCGTCAAAAAACGATGGCGAACCCGAGTCCTGGCAAACCCGGGTCTTACGCTCCCCCGATCTTTGTTCGGCCCAGCGCCGGAACTCGCACGGGCAAGCGGGTCCTGCTGTATACGGGATCCTGGTGCATACCTTTTGTGGCTACGCCTCCGGGAAAAGGGGAAGTCATATACACACCACACCACCCCGACGTCGTCCTCGACCCTCAACAAAAATCCTGGGATTGAGAAACAGCCCGCCACTGGCAATTTGTATGCTCCAATTTCCGGCTTCCTTTAGGTCGGGCATGTCCCCCTGAAGGGGGATTCTGGACGAATCATCAAACATAGCCAGACATACTCAAAAGCTGTCAAACATAGTCAATACACAGTCTCCCCAAATTATGTCTAACATATTTTCGAATAGTCCTCCTGTAGAGGGACAGGCCCTTAGTGGGCCCCGGAAACGGCAGGGCCGATTTTCCACCGTTTCCGAAAACGTGTCCCTTGAACATAGAAACGGCAACAAAAACGGCGACTGGAAACGGCAACAAAAACGGCTCCAGGGTTGGAACCGGGGCGGGAACCCGCAAAAGAACGGCGACGGAACCGGCCACAAAAACGGCGTCGGAACGGGCAACAAAACGGCAAAGCGGAGCCGATCAAAACACGGCCCTGTCGTTTCCAGGGCCCGCTAAGGGGGCGAGCACCCTCTCCCTGGCAGGGCCACCGCGCGCGGAGGGTCGCTGGATGCTCCTTCCGGTGACCCTTCCCGGAGACGCTCGCTGCGTCGAACGTCCGTCGATTCGAACCGACCCTGAGCCGAACCCGAATCGAACTTGAGTCGAACTGGAGTCGAACTCGGGTCGAACCAAAGTCGAGCAGATCCGTGAGGTGGGCCCCGGGACGGTCCCCCAAACGAGCATCTGATCTGAAGGTTCTTGGTCATCCTGAGGGGGGCGAACACCCTTCGGGGATCTTCTGACCCGGGTCAATCCAGACCCGGTCAGTCAGGCATTGCAGAATCTTGAAGGACCCTGACAGATCCTGCACCCAGACCCCGGTCAGCGCGAGGGACCCTGCAGGATCCTGCAGGATCTGCACCCATACCTGGGTCACTGCGGCCCCTGGCCCTGCAGGATCCTGCAAGATCCAGCGCTCTGGCCGACCCCAGCTTGCGTTGACCCTAAAACACGGCTGGGATCGGGATACATCGCTCCAGGGCCTTCCGGAGCGCTCTCAGAGCGTTCCGGAACGCTCTGGAGCGGCCGCGGCGCCCAACACACCCTCCAAACCCGCCGATTCTCAGAGATTTCGAATTATCCCGATCCGATGTTGTCCCGATCTTCGCGTCGTTTTACTTGAGCCCCGAACCCTCTCTCTGGAGGGTCCCCCGCGCGCGGAGGGCCGGCAGGGGCGGCCGGCCGCCGCCTCGTCGTAGCTGAGCTTGTTGATGGCCTTCGAGACGCCGCGGGAGATGAAGATGCCGAGCATCAGCGGGGAGACGAGGCTCAGGTCCTTCGGGGCTCAGGAGGAGGAGGAGGAGGAGGAGGAGGAATAGGATAGGATAGGATAGGATAGGATAGGATAGGACTCGGCCCTGCGCGTGTGCGGGGATGATGCTAGGATAGGATAGGACTCGGCCCTGCGCGCGTGCGGGGATGACGCAGCTGTACACGTGGTGCGATGCTCGTGTAGGCTACCACCTCGAACGGTCGCATATCTACTAGACGAGGTTGCGGGGAACGCGCGCCGTGCAGCACTCGACACGCTGGCATCGGGTTGCACGCAGGATGCAATGTCACGCGCGGGCTGGGGGGAGAGGAGCGACCTGGACTCGACGATACACGCTGGCTCTGGCCAGCATGGGGGGGGGGCAGTAGTGGGGCAGGTTCGAGGTGATGGGTTCGAGAATCCCACCAGCCTTGTGGGCGTAGGTGGTCTAGGGATGACTTTCTTCCCTCATCCGAAGCCCTTCTTCCCTTCGGGCAAGGGTACCCTCCCCCTCCCCTCCCAAGGGTCTGGACGGGGGGGTCGCGAGTCATCAGAGGGCCCTTTTTCGATCAAGATGATCCAAGACGCCTCCAAATAGCGCAAAATCGTTCATGATGACCTCCACCATGCCTCCAAGACGCCGCAAAAAGGCCACGAGATGGTTCCAAGTGCCCTCAAAGACCCCTCAGAACCTCCCCGAGAAGCCACAATCCCTCAAACACCTACGGAAAATCTATGTGTTTCGCCTTCTCGCCTTTTCGCTTCCGATCAGTTTTTTAGCCGTCAAGGTGGCCCCAAGATGGCCCAAGAGAGCTCAAAGAGGGACCCAAGATGCCCCCAAGACGGCCCAAAAACCGCCCGAAAACGCCCCAAGAGGGGGCCAAGAGCGTTCCAAAATGCTATTTTGATGGCCCAGAAGGGGGGACTAAACGTGAGTACCCCCCTCTGTTCACCGACGCGCTCCACGACAGCCCCAAGAGACCCTCCTGGGCTCCCAAGCGGCCCCCAAGAGAACTCCAAGACAGCTCCAAGAGGGCCCCAAGAGGGCCCAAAGAGCTCCCCTCGCCCCCACGCGGCCCCGGCCCAAAAGAGGCTGTCCTAGGCCACCCCATTGTTCCCAGAGATATCTCTGTTCACCATGGTTGCGCGCTGTGTTTCGCTAGATGTATCTCTTCGTCCCTTGTCCCGTCAACTCTGAAGGTCAGGGTCTCTGCATGCGCTGGTGGGGATGCTTTTTTGATGGCCGGCTCCAAGGAAAAGTCAGAGAAACGGGGCGGGCGCGGCTGGGGCACAGGGCGAGATAATTGGTTACGACGGCGCATAGGCCAACGCAACAGGTGCACCTGCAAGAGGCAGCAAAATGCCCCCCATTAAGATGCGAGCGGGCCAGGAACGGGGACGCAAGCACCAGACTGAAGCAGACGGAGGAGAAGTCGCGCAGTGGCGCCAGCTCGAACCGTACAGTCCAGAGAGCACTGGCTAGGGCCAAGCAGCTCAGAAATGGTGGGGATACGCGAAGCGTGAAGACACGTTTGCCGGACTCCGAAAGCCGTTCGCGGGCCCCGGAATAATCAAAACCGTATCCGGGGTTGAAAACTGCTTCCCCACGCTCTGGACAGGGGAGGCAATCGGCGGCCCCCCAACCCTCCTCCCCCCAACCCTCTTCCGCATGCGTCAATAGCACACCGTCCGGGCAGCACCATGCAAAGATCCTGCAGTGCCTCCGCTGACCCTGGCCTTACCCTGCATGGGTTCCGAGTAGGCCCAGAAGGCCCCCAATAATGCCCCCAAGGACCCCAATAAGGCTCCGAGAGAGACCCAATCAAAGATATACAACATGACCCTGAAATCGCCTCGAGATGGCCCGACTAAGCTTGCAACAAGGTCCGATCCGAAGAACTCCACGAATGCGTGCATGGCTTATTCATGGGTCTACTCTGCTCGCTCTCCTCTCTTTCCCACTGGACGCGGCGACGCTTTGGAAGAAGGGACGGCCAGATGACGCCGACAAGACGAGCCACCACGGGGGGGGCCACATCTCCAACCGAGGAGGAGGAGGAGGAGGAGGAGGAGGAGGAAGAGGAATATGATAGGATAGGATAGGATAGGACTCGGCCCTGCGCGCGTGCGGGGATGACGCAGATGTACACGTGGTGTGATGCTCGTGTAGGCTACCACCCCGAACGGTCGCATATCTACTAGACGAGGTTGCGGGGAACGCGCGCCGTGCAACACTCGACACGCTGGCATCGGGCTGCACGCAGGATACAATGTCACGCGCGGGCTGGGGAGAGAGGAGCGACCTGGACTCGACGATACACGCTGGCTCTGGCCAGCATGGGGGGGGGGCAGTAGTGGGGCAGGTTCGAGGTGCTGGGTTCGAGAATCCCACCAGCCTTGTGGGCGTAGGTGGTCTAGGGATGTTTTCCTTCCCTCTTCCGAAGCCCTTTTCCCCTTCGGGCAAGGGTACCCTCCCCCTCCCCTCCCAAGGGTCTGGACGGGGGGGTCGCGAGTCATCAGAGGGCCCTTTTTCGATCAAGATGATCCAAGACGCCCCCAAATAGCGCAAAATCGTTCATGATGACCTCCACCATGCCTCCAAGACGCCGCAAGAAGGCCACGAGATGGTTCCAGGTGCCCTCAAAGACCCCTCAGAACCTCCCCGAGAAGCCACAATCCCTCAAACACCTACGGAAAATCTATGTGTTTCGCCTTCTCGCCTTTTCGCTTCCGATCAGTTTTTTAGGCGTCAAGGTGGCCCCAAGATGGCCCAAGAGAGCTCAAAGAGGGACCCAAGATGCCCCCAAGACGGCCCCAAAACCGCCCGAAAACGCCCCAAGAGGGGGCCAAGAGCGTCCCAAAATGCTATTTTGATGGCCCAGAAGGGGGGACTAAACGTGAGCACCCCCCTCTGTTCACCGACGCGCTCCACGACAGCCCCAAGAGACCCTCCTGGGCTCCCAAGCGGCCCCCAAGAGAACTCCAAGACAGCTCCAAGAGGGCCCCAAGAGGGCCCAAAGAGCTCCCCTCGCCCCCACGCGGCCCCGGCCCAAAAGAGGCTTTCCTAGGCCACCCCATTGCTCCCAGAGATCTCTCTGTTCACCATGGTTGCGCGCTGTGTTTCGCTAGATGTATCTCTTCGTCCCTTGTCCCGTCAACTCTGAAGGTCAGGGTCTCTGCATGCGCTGGTGGGGAGACTTTTTTTGATGGTCGGCTCCAAGGAAAAGTCCGAGAAACGGGGCGGGCGCGGCTGGGGCACAGGGCGAGATAATTGGTTACGACGGCGCATAGGCCAACGCAACAGGTGCACCTGCAAGAGGCAGTAAAATGCCCCCCATTAAGATGCGAGCGGGCCAGGAACGGGGACGCAAGCACCAGACTGAAGCAGACGGAGGAGAAGTCGCGCAGTGGCGCCAGCTCGAACCGTACAGTCCAGAGAGCACTGGCTAGGGCCAAGCAGCTCAGAAATGGTGGGGATACGCGAAGCGTGAAGACACGTTTGCCGGACTCCGAAAGCCGTTCGCGGGCCCAGGAACAATCAAAACCGTATCCGGGGTTGAAAACTGCTTCCCCACGCTCTGGACAGGGGAGGCAATCGGCGGCCCCCCAACCCTCCTCCCCCCAACCCTCTTCCGCATGCGTCAATAGCACACCGTCTGGGCAGCACCATGCAAAGATCCTGCAATGCCTCCGCTGACCCTGCCCTAGCCCTGCATGGGCTCCGAGTAGGCCCAGAAGGCCCCCAATAATGCCCCCAAGGACCCCAATAAGGCTCCGAGAGAGACCCGATCAAAGACTTACAACATGACCCTAAAATCGCCTCGAGATGACCCGACTAAGCTTGCAACAAGGTCCGATCCGAAGAACTCCACGAATGCGTGCATGGCTTATTCATGGGTCTACTCTGCTCGCTCTCCTCTCTTTCCCACTGGACCCGGCGACGCTTTGGAAGAAGGGACGGCCAGATGACGCCGACAAGACGAGCCACCACGGGGGGGGCCATATCTCCAACCGAGGAGGAGGAGGAGGAGGAGGAGGAGGAGGAGGAGGAGGAGGAGAAGGAGAAGGAGGAGGAGGAGGAGGAGGAGGAGGAGGACGGAGAAAGAGGAGGAGGAGGGCGGATAAGGAGGAGGAGGGCGGAGAAGGAGGAGGAGGAGGAGGAGGAGGAGGAGGAGGGCGGAGAAGGAGGAGGAGGAGGAGGAGGCCCGCCGCGCCAGCGGGCCCAGCGTCGCCCGACCACGCCGGACGAGGGAGCCCCGCGCTGGAGCGCCCCGCCCGCCCGGCCCGCCCGGCCCCGCTGGGCCCGCCGGCGCGCTGCAGAGGGCCCCGCCCGTGCATGCCCCGCCCGCAGGGCCCGCTCTGCTCCCTTGGCCCCGCTGCCTGAGCAGTTTCTCGGGGTGGAGGGCTCTGGGTGAACTGGGCTTTTGCACCTTTCGGGAGCGGCCAAGAGGGGGGTGTCCAAGAGGGGGGGGTGCAAATCATGACTGGCGGCACGTGCGCGGCCAAGCGGGGGGGCCTGGTACGTAATGAAATAAGAAGAGGCGCCATGAAATCTGCGGAGATATCATGGCCCGCGCCATGATATCCACCCCCCCCTAGTCATCACCCCCCTCTTTCCGCCCCCGAACCTTGGAAATCGATCCGTCTTGTGCTTCACCTTCTGCAGAGTCACGCCTCGAGAACCCATCGGAACGGCGTGTCGTATTTCGACCTTTGCCCTCCACCCAGAGCAAATGCTCGGGCTTCGCTCGGCCGCGCGGGATAGAGAGCCCCGCACTTGAGTGTCCCACCCGCCCGCCCCGCTGGGGACAGAGGAGTGACACTTGCAGGGACCGCCCCCCCCGGAGCCGCCGCGTTCGCGGGCCCCGCGCCCGATGGCCGCACTCGAGTGCTCTGCTCTCGAATGTCCCGCCCGCCCGACCACCCTCGTCCGTCGGCCCCGCCCTGCCTGGCCACGCTCGAGAGAACCCTGCGCTTCAATTTGGAGGACCATGTAGCCCTGCTCTAGAACAGGAGCGTATACCGTAAACGGATCCGCCCTTTCTCCGATCTAGTACTGCGCCGAACGCATCCGCCGCGCTGTCTGCAGACGCACCCACCCCGAATGCGTTTGAAAACGCAGCGCGACGCCCATCAGCCCGCCCTGGTGAGGGGCCCAAGGACACACAAATAAAATGATTCCCCATATGTTCGCATATGTTCTTGGTGTTTGTCTTCCCCCCCACGTCCCATATTTTCCCATATCTTCCTGGGAGAGGACGAGGAATTGTGTCTGTGTGTTTTCTCCCCTCCTGAAGCCTTTTCTTATTCGGCGCTTCGACTAAGGAGGGGGAGGAGGAGATGGAGGAGGAGGAGGAGGAGGACGAGGAGGAGGAGGAGGAGGAGGAGGAGGAGGAGGAGGAGGAGGAGGAGGGGAGGGGGAGGAGGCGGAGGAGGAGGAGGAGGAGGAGGAGGAGGAGGAAGGAGGAGGAGGAGGAGGAGGAGGAGGAGGAGGGGGGGGGGTAGGGGGGGGGGGGGCTCTGGCGCCGGACCTCTGCTGAATGCGACTGCTTGCAGCAGCGCGTGCTGTGGGGAGGCCTCACCTGCCTGAAGACGGGCGCCAAAAAACAGCATCTACTCCAAGGGGGGGGAAGGCCTCTTGGGGGTCTTCTGTGGGTCGTGTTCAGGCGTCTGGTGGGTGTCTGGGCCTTCTGTGCGTTCTCCCAGTTCAGGCACGCACCCGAAAGCGCCTGCCACCGCCCGACTCCTGCACACGAGAACCAGCGAGCACTGTAAGCCCCTGACCCTGGTCTCCGAGTCGGACGGGGACACCCTCCAGCACACGACGCGAAGGGGGGGGGAAGGAGGTGCGAGGGCCCGCGCCGATCGGCAGAGCAAAGAGTAAGAACACGCTCGCATGTCCGTCTTCTGGAAGGAGGTCGAGCTGGCTCTCCAAGGTTGACTGTCCCGCCCGCGCGGCCCGCCATGCCCCGTTGGCCCTGCTCCGAGAGAGAGCCTGAACTTAGGTCGGGCATGTCCCCCTAAAAGCCGGGGTTTGGAAGACAGAACAAACAGATCCAAACCACAAAAATCATCAGAAACAGTCGCAGGATCGTGCCCAGACTACTTTCTTGACCATTCCTGAGCATTCCCCCTGTGGGAGGGGCATGCCCGACTCGAGCCCGAAATCATCAGAAATAGTCGCAGAATCGTGCCCAGACTACTTTCTCGACCACTCCTGAGCACTCCCCCTGTGGCAGGGGCCTGCCCGACCCGAGCCCGGACTCCGCGGCCCCGCCCGCCTGGCTCGCACTGCCCCCCGCGCGCCACGCGCCGCCCGAGGGTATCGCCGACGGGAGACCCGCCTCCTCCTTCCTCCTCCTTCCTCCTCCTCCTCCCTCCTCCCTCTTCCCTCCTCCCTCCTCCCTCCTCCCTCCTCCTCCTCCTCCTCCTCCTCCTCCTCCTCCTCCTCCTCCTCTTCCGCCGGCTCTGCGCGCGCCTGGCCACCCGAAGGCAAAGACCGCGCCCTGCGCCAAAAACCCGCTGATTTCTATATGCGGCCGGCGCCGTGACGCCCGTCGCACGCGTCGCCCGCCGGCTCTGCGCCGCCTGGCCCCGCGCGACAAAGACCACGCGCTGCCACGCACTGCTCTGAGAGCCCGATGAGTGTTTTATATGCGGCCCCGCGCTTTTGCTCACGGGGCGTCGCGCGCCCGCACGACCGCGAAAAGCGACGCGCCTGGTTCCACTGTGTAGCATCTCATGTTGGG